TGTGTGTTTGTGTGTGTGTATGTCTGTCTGTCTATGTGTCTGTGTATGTGTGTGTGTGCCCCCGTGTTTGTGTGCGTGTCACGTGTTTGTGTCTGTGTTTGCAACAAAATTAAAAAGAGTCCGCGACGGAAAAAAAAAACAAACAAACACAAAAGCGGGAAATAACGAAAAAAAAAGAAAAAAAAAGTAATGGCAGCGGGAAACGACAAACTTCGAGGCGCAAACGCGGGCAGTCGGGCAGGGTCGCACGTTGTCTACCCGTGCGTTGTTTCTCGGAATTCAACACATTTTCAGTTTTTGTCACTCTTTCGGTTCTCCACACTATACTACCGGCAGCCCTGATTAAACCGTGCTACCGGTCCCCCGAATTTCTTGACGTCGGAGGGAGTTGTGGTTTAAAAGAATGAGTCTTAAAAAAAAAATAAAAAAAATCATTATTGACCCGCCTACCACACTGTGCGACGTTAGACGACCAGTCCCCCCGGCGTAAAAAACCTTGGGGGTACCGGATGCGGTGTTTCACGACGGGTACCGGTAGTACAAAACGGAAAACCGGACGAGCCTTGAAAATTGAATTTGTAAAAAAAAAACGAATCGGCGCGGCGCTTATTTCACGGTCAAAATGATTTTTTTTATTTTTTTTGATATTTTTTCTTGAAAGACCACAACTTACTCTACGGACCCACAAATGTTCAGGCGATTTGATGAATTTTTCTGAGCTACAAAAATCGTCAAAGTTACCGCTTGCAAATGGCGGGATTGGATCGGGCGGGCCACGAAAATTGACTTCGCGAAGAAAACAAAACGAATTGGCGCGGCGCTTATTTCACGGTACAAATGATTTTTTTTATTTTTTAGGATATTTTTCCTTGAAATATCACAACCTAATCTACGAACCCTCAAATTTTCAGATGATTTGATGAAATCTTCTGAGCTACAAAAATCGTCAAAGTTACCGCTTGCAAATGGTGGGATTGGACCCGCCGGTGACGAATGGTTGCCGCCCCTCCGTAGAACCCGGCCCTAACTCACAGGGACTGGGGTTTTTCGGCAGCTGGGGGACTGGTGGTCTTAGCTTTCAACACACAGGCATATCCTAACGTGCCAGCAGCCTGATGCGGATACAGTTCAAAAGAAAGCAGTCCCCTAAAATATACAGGGACTCAGTCCGCCTCAATGGTTATCTCAATGAGCAATTCAGTATTTCAAAATATGTACGTGGGTTCAAACCCCAACCCGACCACTGCAACCGAACTTCGAATACTTACTAATATACATATATAGTGTGTGTGTGTGGGTGGGTG